ACCTCTCTGGGCAGCCTGTTCCAGTGCTTTGTCACCCTCACAGTGAAGAAATGCTTCCTTAAGTTCCTGTGGAACTTCCGATGCTTCAGTTTGAAGCCATTTCMTCTAGTCCTATCACTGTCCACCACTGTGCTTGTTGATAACCTAGGCAATTGGAAAAGAAGCAGTCACCCTGTGCTTGTGTGCAAAGCTCTCGTGGCAGCAGTTTCTTTACTCTGAAGTCAAATTCCCATTGTAAAAGGTGGAGTGTAAGATATTTATCCCGTTTTGGTAAGCTGTTTTGGCATTGCAGGACATGAAAGGTGAAACTTTGTGCCAAAGAGTGAGTTGGGCCTGTTCAGCTTGGAGAAGGGAAAGCCRAGAGGGGATCTGGTTAACATGTATAAGTTCATGAAGGGAGAATGTAAGGAGGAAGCTCTTCTCATTGGTGGCCATGATAGGACAAAGGGAAATGGGTATAAGTTGAAACACAGGCAGTTCCATCTGCAGGTGAGGAAGAATTTCTTTCCTGTGAGAGCGACAGAGCCCTGGAACAGGCTGCCCAGGGAGGTTGTGGAGTCTCCTTTTCTGGAGATCTTCCAAACCCGCCTGGATGCCGCCCTGTGCCATGTTCTCTAGGTGTCTCTGCTTCAGCAAGGGGATTGGACTAGATGAWCTCTAGAGGTCCCTTCCAACCTTAACCATTCTGTGATTCTGTGATAATAATAATAAACTCTTTTATGCATAATCAGTGCCTAAAGGAAGGACTGTAATTCCATCTGATCACCAGAGAATTATGAACTCTAAATATAGTTCTTAAAATGACAATTTGTTTCCAAATGCATCAGAAGAGAGATTTATGCTGAAGACATGGAAATAGTAGTGCCATTATAGTGGGCCTTAATGAGACCACATGATGGCAGCTATGCTCACCCAGAAGTTCAAGGATGAGCAAACTATAGGGGTCAGGATTATGGGCTGGTCTCTTTTAAGAGAGAAGCCAAGAAAAGCTATATTTGATTAATCTAGTTTAGGAAAGAAATGTTAAGATGATTATAACTATTGTTTATATCTACTTCTGGATAGGAATACAAGCCAAAAAGAATCAATATCTTAGAAAAAAATACAATGTCATAAATTAATTTGTACAAATTTGCCATTCATAAAATTAAGCAGAAAATTAATAGTTTCTAATTCCATAACTCTTTTATGGTCACCCTTCTAGCAAACAGAAAACTTGTATTTCTAAAGTAGTATCAATTTAAGTTGCAAAAGAATTATTTTCCATGATGAAACAGAAGAAAACAGATTGAAACAAGAAAATAAAACCTGAAGCAGATAACCCAAAACTTCATTTCCAGTCCAGTACATTACTGCCAGCAGAAAATTAGTATACTTGATCATCTGTCTCTTTTTTTATTTTGTTTTATTTAGGATTTCAGTTCGGGAGTTCCTGATGTCTCTTGACAGCTTTCAAACAAAGTTTCTTTAAAATAAATGGTGGTAAACCTAAGGGTTGCTGCTAAAATAAATGGTCTGAGAAAATCAGCAATCACTGTGATCTAAATAAATAAAGTACAATTTATATTTGCTGTACTGGGTGAATGGCACAATACTTCACCCATAGTGAGAAAAAAAGGTCAGATCAGGACTACCATCAAACATAATAAAAAGGAATTTAAAGAAAAATAATTGGCTTACTGCCTGCAATCTGCAAAGAGCATCTAATTTAGAATGGACTTGGTAAAAAGTAAAGGAGAATCAATCTTTTCTCCTTGTCATTCTCCCCAAGGTCAACAGCTTTATTTTAGCGTGGAGGCATCAAGAACTCTTAGTGTCCCCTTCTGAGAGGCATTAACTCTTGATCCCAAAGACATCTAGGATTCATTTATTGTTTGCTTTGATGAGGCAAAATAAAATAAAATATTGTGAGTGACAATAATACTGAACAATTTTTCAAGGAAAGCTTAACAGCATCGATTCCAGCCAGCTGATGTAAGCTTACTGTAAGTCACGAGAAAATCCACACAAAATCAAGCAGCTTCCTAAATTCCCAAGTCTCCATGAGAGCTATTTGGACTGTGCAGCAGCAGCAAGATTCTGATTTTCAGAAATTATCTTTTTGTTACCCACCCAGCAACTTCTGTGTGCCATATTTGTAGATACAAACCTTTATCTAGTCATTCAATAGAAGCCTCAAAATGCTCAAAATCAGCTTCAATCTAGTTGTCTTCTTTGTTAAATGACAAACCAAGCTTAAGCTTAAAGAAGTTGGTGCATGATTTATATAGCTTGCTATAATAAGTAAATGCACAAGAAAATGTCATAATGTTATAGGATATAAAATTTGAACTTTTTTTTTCTATTTAGGAAGACATAAATATGAGTATTTAATCTTGAAACTTCATATGTCTTGTAAGACAGCAGATTTTTTAAATTAAACTGGGAAAATATAAAGTATATTAAATCAATTATCAAAAATTATAATTAAATAGGCTGCCTGAAATTCCTCTCTCTAAAAAAAAAGAGTTCAGCCTGAGGAAGAGAAGGCTGAGGGGGTACCTGATCAGTGCCCCCCTCAGATATTGTTTTGATCAGTGTCCCCCCTCAGATTTGATATCCCCCCTCAGATGAAGATTCTGGAAACAATTTGATAGAGTGATATTTTTAAGAGTAACATGGCATTTYTTAAGAGTAATTATTAAAATAATAATAGTATATATTTATGCTCAAGAAACTGAACGGCATGTTATATTGTAGACCAAGGTGTTCCATATCTAAATGGATCACTTAAAAAAACCACATACATTTACATAAACATATATATATATTTATATATGCATATCTGTGTGTGTGTGTGTGTGTGTATGTATACTTACACATATTTCATCTAGCTGTACCAGTCATTTTTTAACCAACATTTGATAACAAATAAAATTTCTATGCTTTTGTATTGGAAACACATTATTAACAAGAGTGGTAGTTGATCTTCAGTGGTATGTGCTATAACACATATACCACCCTGTGCTTACCAGTTCCTGATCAGATAAATCACTTGAAGATCCATGAGAAGGTTCAGGAGATGTCTCCATTGCCCAGGAATCAAAGTTTTCTCCCAGCATTCTTTTGTAAAGTCTTCCTTGAGGTCTAACAGAGCCTTTCAGTATTGCATAGAAACCTTGATTTCCAACCACTAGAATAAATAATAATAAAAAAAAAAGATGTTTAATTTCCAAGTTATCGGTACAGTTCTGTCTTCATACTGTTTTACTTGGTTTATTTACAATAGCTAGTGCATTATAAGAAGATTGGAACAATAGCTAGTGTATTATAAGAAGACTGGAAGAAATGATGTATAAAGGAAAAAAAAACACTGCAAGAATAATAAATAATCTTTGCAGAAGAACTAACAAATTTTTGTTTCATATTTTTAATTGGGTTACTGCACAAGAAAAGGATCCAAAATCCTATGTTTATGTAAGACTTACTAATCTGTCTTTTGCTGACAGACAAGGAATATATGGTGTCCTGAGTCAAAGGGGATTTTCTATCAAGTAAGAATACCATTAATTTTAAAAATTAAAAACAAATTTGACATTCTTAAATCATTTCAAATAGATTAATAATGTTGCAATGTAACAGCTGAAATATTTTGTAACTAATTTTCTTTTTTTGAGTTTAAATACCTACTTCGGCAAAGTGCAAGAAAATGACATTACAAGCGAAATACAAGCAGAATGCAAGCCTTTTGGGGGAAATTTATTTTAGATTGTAAGCTGTATAACTTGCACCTATAAAATTCATTTTGAGTGCAGTACAAAATTTAGACAGGTATTTTTAACCAATTTGACAGAGGTTAAACTGAAAGATTTCATCTGGGTCAGAACACAAAGCTAAAGTAAGTACTTGGTCTTGGATTACTTGCACACATGCATGCCAAACTGGAACATATACATGCCAAACTGGAGACATAAATGTAAATGTAAATGCTTGCAGATGTTACAAAACACAGACCAAGCAGCAAGTTTTCAGAATCCTTTCAGTTGTGTCATTTCATGTCACAGATTTAGAAAAAAATCTACTTCATTTCATCAAAGTAAAGCTTTTTAAAATTTCTGCAATATGTCTGTGTCTTTACAAGATGGTATAGCAACTAAATTTTGCAGCATCCCTAGTAGTCTCTCCTAATTTTTGGTGATTTCCAGAGCTTCAGGTTGTCCCAGCAAACAAAAAGCACGTTTTAATCTTATGGCCTGACATGCTGACCATTATGTGTGGCAATATAAATAAAGTATTCATCCCTCTTTCTGCTTTTTTGGCTACATTAATGCGCTCTGGTGGCTGTTTCTACCCTTGCTTTGTTTCATTGCATAAAGCACCAAGATCTAAAACCTGAGAGATGCAGTGTCAAGAAGAAACAGAAAGTACTTTCTGATGGAAAATGATGCCTTATGTCAATAAGTATCCCAAAACAAGCAAGCAAACAAACAAACAAACAAACAAACAGACAAACAAACCAAACAAACAACCAAACAAAGTCCACTAAACAACATGGAGAACAGTCAGCGTGATGATAAAAAGGAGAGATTGCCAGGATAAATCAGCCTACACTGTTTGGTTTTCTTAAATCAACTRTGCTTCTCTAGTTGTATCACTACAACCTGGGTTAGTGGCAGTAGCTTTTTGGCACTTGACTGTCAGAGCAAGAACATTTTAGCCCACTTCCACTCATTGCCCCATATTCCCATGCCCAGCACATCTCAGGTACTGCACTTCCTTGTCATTTACAATTGTATTTCTTCAAAATGTTTGTAGCCCACATCATTCATTAAACTTTTCTCAGAAAACTTTTCTTCAGAAGGTAATCTCCTCAATCTCTGAATCATCTCTTTTCAAAAAAAAAAAAAAATCTTTTTTTCTCAACTTTTATGACATATGGTTATGAAATAATCATATTTGTATGATGCATTCTAGATTTTTCATAAATAGTAACAGAAAATAGTATACTTCACAATAAGACATGGAAATTAGGAATCAATGGCCATGGCAACAGCAATAGTTAACTATTAACTATAGTTATATATATATATATATAACTATATATATATATAAAAATAGCAATAGTTAACTATTGACTATAGTTATATATATATAACTATATATATATAACCATGGCCAGCCTTACCAGTCATAAATAAGAGACTGCTTCATCATAGAACTTTCTTGGTGCTTTTACAGCTCTGTATTTGCCTAAGCTCTTTGGGAAGTTTTCCTGTTTAAGTCAATGGAAGATTTGTCTTTGATTTGATGCTTAAAGAAATAATCTTCAAAATTGAAAATGTTTTAGATGGATTTCTCTCAAAAGTATTACCTGCAAGTAAATGAGTGTGGAAATCTTTGTTACAGAATATATTAGAATGTATAAGAGAAATAATGTGTTATTTTCTTGATTGTGCTCTAAAAGATAATCTTTGGAGATTAAAACCATGCCTGCCATTTATTCTTTTCGTCAAGATTCTTTTACTTAATATAAAATCAATTTATTGTTTATTTTTAGATTAGATGGCAACAGACTAGACTGAGAATGTTGCCTAGACTAGCTCAAAGAACATGAAATGATTATATATTGGTGTAAAACAGCTTGGTCTGTAAGGTATAATATGACAATGAGTCTTTAAAATTAGCATTTTTTTTATGACAAACCACTTCATGATCAGCAGTTTTTGCCACTATTTTACACCATATAATGGTTCTGCATTAGCTATTGCAAAATCAATAAAGCACACTATCTAACACAACATAGGCGTCCTAGTGACCAAGATTTACAGGGCAATTCACAACTAAATCCCTGATTTTCTCAAATTTGAATACTCCATCAAGAAGCCAATTTTCATGACTATCATTTGAATCACGAGCTATGACATTACATCTGTCCTTTTCATTATCACCATATCATTATGCAAATGTAGTTCCTGCCTGCTCACATCTTCTTTCAGTCTGTTAATTACATAGCAATGCTGTAATGTAGGCACCTCCATCCTGAACTTCACACTTTGATTTGCAGATTAACTTTAAACACATTAACTCAAACATTCATCAGAATACTCCATGCAAAGACTAAATAGACCTTCAAAATTGAACACAGTGCCATAGCTAGAGCTGTAAGTCCCTGATGCCATCACTGGGTGCATAGCCCTATACCACAGGGAATTAGCCTAATATTCAAGCCACTGTCCAGTACAAACATAAACAATAAAAAAGCCCTCCTCATTTACTACTTGTCATTACAATGAGATATTGACATAAAGTCTTTAATTAGAGAAGAAGTGTTAGTGTCAGAAGCATCATTTTGTCTATAGACATTATGATTTGTTTGCATATTCCACTTAATTTGAGAGACAACAGATTTACAACCAATGGTCTCTAACTTTTACAGCTCTATCTTCTGAAAATAGACTTAATTCCAAAAACAGGACAGACATTAGCTCTTCGCATCTCATCCTTATTTTATGCAATAAATGATATCCATGACATATGTGTAAAGAGACTCCATTTTGCATTATGTACTGTCAGACCAATGCTGCGAAGATAGTAAATAATATTAAGGATCTTTCTCTGATGATAGATAACTTCAAACAACTTGCTTTCATTATGTATTTTGCATCAGGACTATCCCTTTACTGGAATACATCAACAGAGCAATGGCTTTTTGTGCTATTTATCACTTTGAGCATGTTCCCTAGTGTTATCCATCATAAAGATAGTGACACTTAATTTTATACATGATCAAAATGGTGGCACTCTGATGATGTACAAAGCAAAACAGCCTTTCTTGATATTATAGTTGTAGTACAGAGTTAGTCTAATTTATAGGAAACTTTATGATAATTTTAGAGAAAGTAAATTATACCTAAGAAGAAAACAAAAAACCTGACAATATCTAATCTGYAGGGAATTAATAGTGCATCTCATGAAGTAAATCAAGAAAGCTCTTCAAATATTCTCCTCATAGGAACTAGTAGAAAGTTTCTAGGGAGAAAAAAAATAAAACCTGACAATTCATATTACAGTATAATTGAAAAAGTAGAGACACTGTCATAAGGCAGAACAGGAATAGCAATCCATCAATCTGGCTTTCCAATAGTGAGTCACCCAACTTTACTTGTCACAGTTTTGAATCCTGAGSAGTATTTTCTTTGGTTAGTCTTTAAATAATCTTCAGAATTAGCAAAGTCTAGGAAGAGGATATTTCTTGATTAAGGACAATAAGGACTCTGTAAATTTCTTTTACTCCATCTAACAGAATTAGAATTTAAACTCTACACCCAAAATAGTCTGCAAAGACATTGCTTTCCAGAATTCTTATATAAGATGATCCATTTTTACTTTGCTCTCAAAGATTATGAAATCTAGTTTTGACAGCATCTTTAATTCTGGTTTTGGAAAGACAAGAATATAGGTATATATTTGCAGCAATTTAACTCTAACAGATAACATTATATTAAAATGATAACATATATGTTTCAGCATATTTTTCATTCAGATGATAAAGTCATTGTGATAGATATACTGTTACCTGTGCTTCCTTTTTCCCAGTGTTCCTTGATGGTACTCATGCTGAGCTCTTTCAGTTCTGCGTCAGAAAGCTGAACATTTATGTCAGGAATAAGTTTCATCATTCTATACACTATCTTATGCTCTCTTGCAGTTCTTAGAATAGGTCTGCAAAATAATATATGAATACATATGGATACATATGGATAATATAAACGATTTGTGGAGTTCAGATATTTTATTTTGTCACTGTTAGTCATAGTGGTGGGTAATAATTTCATTGATTTACCTAGAGTCAAACTCAGTTTCAAAGGATTATTTTTTCAGCATTGACCTACACTGTTTTCATAAGATTTGCTAGTTATTGAAAGTACAACACAGCTATTCAGCTAAAGACATGACACTTTATATTAGTTTGTACACTTGTAATACAGTTCCTATTTTAGCAAGCTTTGCCTTGCAGCCTTGTGGCATTCAGTATAACATTTATGCATTGCATCCTTGCATCAATCTATGTCCTGCTATTCATGCACTTTGCAGATCTTGCTGTTTAACTGCATTGTTACCAAGAATTACAATTTAATTTTTAGCATTAGTAATTAAACAGTCTCAAATTCTCATCAAATCTACTGCCTAAATCATGGGTCATTCCTGCAGTTTCAATAACCTCAAATTCGCTATTGGCTTTACGAAGCATTCACCTAAAACTAGACAATAATAACAACACTGTGAAACTCATCATACAATCCTACCTCAGTGAGTTTCCAAATTCTCCACAGAAGTACTGCTCTTTAAGGAATGAGCCAAGTACAATTTAGTGCTTTTAAGGTACAAATATTTAATGTCCCAGGAAGTAAAATAATTTAATTTTTTTAAACTGAAGATCTCTTTCTCAGTAGCTCATTTTTTTTTGACAAAAGGTTATATAAAACAGGTTATAAAATTCACAGTGAATTTTTAAATATCTACCAAGAAAGAATCACAACTCTTTACAGAAAAGAGAACATATTTATCTTTGTTGTTATTTCACTCCTAGCTATTCAGCAAATTAGTGGACTATTGCAATAACRTATAGTTACCAGACTTTTATTAAGGAAATCAAAAATTATACGTGTCATTTTATATGTACTAGTAGTTATTGATCAATGTCTCCATTGCCTATTAAGTAAAATTTCCCTCCCATCTCTACTCTTACTTTATAATGTCTCTTGCCACTCTTCTGCTTTAATAAAGACATTATCTGATAACCTAATGGGAAATTGTAGGTGAAAAGTATATCTAAAAATTTTATTGGTCTTACAGTGCTATTCAATTTAGAATATAAAAGTAAGTTTATTCCTSACAATTTGCCCATTAAAAAGAGGCTGTGAAACTAAATTTGCATCTGTACCCACCTCTTGCAAGTTAAAATATGTCTTGATTCTATCTGAAACTATTAGGCACGCTGGAAAATTACAAAGACAAATTTGAAAACCTTTTGCTTCTTTCCTCAGTGGTACATATAATGTGTTTCTTTCTCAATATCTGATATAATGAGTCCAATATTAAGAAAATCCTCAAGGAATGACAAAAAAAAAAAAAAAGTCAGTTAAAAATACATTTTTTCCACATAAGTCTAAACTGGTAATATCAAGCACGAATCTTCTTTCTGTTCTATTTTCTTTTCTCACCTATCTGCCCATCTTTCCTCATAGCAATTGGACAATCACTGATGCAGCACTATATTTCTAAATATATATTTATTAAAATGGAAAGAAATAAAATAAATGATAAACTGTATGAAAGATGATCTTCTGTATTATTGTTAACAGTGGTCATTTTCATTCGCAACTCAATAGAAATTAAGGAAGATTTTGGCAGTTAATCTATTTATCTGCATTTGCTTGCTTTCTAGATTCTAAAGAAATATATACCTGTTTTAAATATTAGTAAGTAGTTGTATTGGTTGGATCAGTTATTTTATAACTACTTACAAATCAGCTATGATCTGCCAAACATACAGGAATTTTGCTATAAAGTTTCTAGTCTTCCAGGTCATCTGTCAGTATGGCTTCTTTCACTCATCCTTCACACTCACTTTTGTAGCCTCCATCTGGTTTCAACATAACTCTTGATACGTGTACACAATTACTGAAGTCAGAATGCATATGCAACTGCATGTGTAATTAACTGCATATGTAAACATCAACTAGATGAATAACAGATAGCTTACTAACTTATTAGCTTTGGTGCATGAACCAACACATAAAAAGAACCCAAACAATTATGTTCTTTTCTGAAAGTCAATCTGGATAGTCTATGAAGACTTGGGCTAAATTTATGGAGGCTTAAAGCATTTCACCATCTGCTTTGGCTCCAGTGAAAACCTCAGAAAAGTAATTTAGCTGTGTCTACCTTCAGAAATACAGAAATCTCTTCGGCCTTTTTTTTTTTCATGGATGTACACAATTACACAAGCACTGGTGAGCACTGGAGGCCAAGTTCACCTCRTCTGTGCTGCCCACTCCAGATGTGTTCCCAGATCACCAAGGGGWAGTCATGTCTGATGAACCTCTTAGCCTTCTATGATGGGATGACTGGCTGGCTGGACGAGGGGAGAGACGTGGATGTTGTCTACCTTCACTTCAGCAAGGCTTTTGACACCATCTCCYATAATATCCTCATACGGAAGCTCCGGGAGAGTGGTCTGGACGAGTGCACAGTGAGGTGGATCAAGAACTGGCTGGATGGCAGAGCTCAGAGGGCGATGATAAAGGSGGCCAAGTCCAGTTGGAGGCCTGTGGCCAGTGGTGTCCCCCAGGGGTCAATACTGGGCCCGGTGCTGTTCAACTTGTTCATCAGTGACTTGGACAAGGGCACAGAGGGCACATTGAACAAGTTTGCAGACGATAYCAAGCTGGGTGGAGTGGCCGACACTCCGGAGGGCMGTGCTGCCATCCAGAGGGACCTGGACAGGCTGGTGAGTTGGGCAGAGAGGAACCTCATGACATTCAACAAGGACAAGTGTAGGGTCCGGCACCTAGGGAGGAATAACCCCAGGCACCAGTACAGATTAGGGGTCAACCTGCTGGAAAGCACCTCCACGGAGAGGGACCTGGGAGTCCTGGTTGACACTAAGTTAACCATGAGTCAGCAGTGTGCCCTCATGGCCAAGAAGGCCAATGGGATCCTGGCCTGCATCAGGAGGAGTGTTGCCAGCAGGTCAAGGGAGGGGATGCTGTCCCTCTCTTCAGCTCTGGCGAGGCCGCACCTGGAGTACTGTGTGCAGTTCTGGGCTCCCCAGTATAAGAGGGACGTGGAGCTCCTAGAGAGGGTCCAGAGAAGAGCAACAAAGATGATTAGGGGACTGGAACATGAGGAGACACTGAGTGAGTTGGGCCTGTTCAGCTTGGAGAAGAGAAGGCCGAGAGAGGCCTCCCTACATTCTCCCCTCTCATGAAGGGAGAATGTAGGGAGGAAGGGGCCAAGCTCTTCTCATTGGTGGCCAGTGAAAGGACAAGGAGAAATGGGTATAAGTTGAAACAAAGGAAGTTCCATCTGCATGTGAGGAAGAACTTCTTTCCTGTGAGGGTGACAGAGCCCTAGAACAGGCTGCCCAGGGAGGTTGTAGAGTCTCTTTCTCTGGAGGTCTTCAAAACCCACCTGGATGCCACCCTGTGCCCCGTGCTCTGGGTCTCCCTGTTTGAGCAGGAAGGTTGGACTAGATGAACTCTAGAGGTCCCTTCCAACCTTGAACATTCTGTGGTTCTCTGATTCTGTGATCACTGTGACCAGATCAAATTTACTTAAATACATGTTGGAAACAGCTGAACAGATCACTTAACTTTTACAGCACAATAATTAGAGGATTAATTCATGAGATGGGAGACAGTAATTCAGATTCCTGTTTTGCTGAACTGATTACAGGGAGTTTACCCTTCGCCTCCCAAATCCCAGGAAGTATCATGGACAGAAGACTATAGCAGCTCTTTCCCAATCCCCCTCAGCTCCTGTGGTCAAGGAGTAATGTTATATAGATGATAAATACCGAGTGTTAAGAGTCTTAGAAGTATCTGTCACTATGGAAAGCAAGGCATGAAACTAGTTTTAAGAAATGCAAATCTTTCTCTTATTTCAGGAAGATATTGGCTCAAATTGCTGTTAGCTTTAGCTTCTGTTTTCTTTAATTCTGCCTGTGTGCTTATGCATGAAGAGATACTGAATTTATTCGGATAGCAGACTGCTTAGTTTCCTCTTGAGGCTTTGTGCCACAGTCCCATCAGCAATCTTTTCCTGTGAGATAATCTAGTGAGGAGAAGATTGCACTGTAATGTTACAAGAGGAGACAAGGACTTTATTTGCTAATGATCACCCCATAGAATGTCAAATATATTTGCATTTAAAAAAACCCTTTTCTTGTACTTAAGTATGCTGTAAAATTCAGCCATTCTTGATTCAGAGTACAATTATCTGCATAGAAGAAAGTATTGAAAATTATTTTAAGTGGGACTCTTGCAAATTCTTTACCTTTCCTGTTACTTCAAAGTGTCTTAAGGATCTTTCCGTCTTTCCACAATAACTGCTCTCTGAATAGGCACCAAACATATAAAATTTATCCTAAAAGGGCTCCAATTTTGTACACTTTACAAAATTAGAAAGATGAAAATTTGGAAGAGTGTTAAATGAAACAACTTTGTAATTTCAGCTAAACTACACTAGATGCCACCAATATAGTAAAGGGAACCATGATACGGTCTCTTCAACAATTTCATAGAATCACAGAATGCTTAAGGTTGGAAGGGACCTCAGAGATCATATAGTCCAACCCCCCTGCTCACGCAGGGTCACCTACAGCACGTGGCCAGGGCTGCATCCAAGCAGGTTTTAAAGATCTCCAAAGAAGGAGACTCCACAACCTCCCTGAGCAGCCTGTTCCAGGGCTCTGTCACCCTCTGTCAAGAAGTGTTTTCTGAAGTTCCTGTGGAACTTTTGGTGCCTCAGTTTGTGGCTGTTTCCTCTAGTCCTATCGTCATGCAATAATAGCCCATTGCGTTTAAAAGAATAATGTATCTCCTATAATACTTAGGCGRCCTGGAATTAGGTATCCTCAGCTCCAAAACATGGACCTTCTAAGAAAACAGTTTCAGGAAGCAGAACAAATCAGCAAATAAGGCTGYCGTTGATGAAAT